TTAATTAGTCGCGGACATATTTGTAAAAGCAAATATGTAGGAAAGTAACCACAAACAGTATGTAATATCTCATACTTGTTTATAGATTCATATGTATCTCGTATGTGTACAAAACCCCAAAACCGCTACATATTTATTGTTAACACTACCTCGTCCTGAATAATGATCTATAAATGAAAACCCTTTCTCTCCAGCGCCGACCCTCGTCAAAGTCTCCCCACTTGCCTTCTGCTAATTCAGAGGATTATTATCCTGCTTCACGCTTTATCAGGCTAGATTATACCACGCCAGTTTATCTTAATGCTGTAATGAAATAAACAAATAAACAAAAGTGGTATGTGTTAGTAAGATGTTTCACCGTGCGCTACCACTACCTCGAGTGCTAAAAAATGATATAGCAATCCTTATCGTTCTGTATTGAAAAAACCGAGAAGCCTGTCTCGCGATCTTGTATTAAGCGTTCTATTTTATTCATTAATGAGCTTCTAGTAGATATAAATTTCTACGCTGAGAATAAATAACCAGACTTCAAACTATACTATCTGGTCGATAAGTATTCATCGACGAAAATTAATTGAATTATTTCTTTTAGATTTAGTTTATTAAACGATACGTGCCATAGTTTAATTACATTACGCAAAAACCACATTAAAATGCTAGCAACCAATGCATGAAGTAACAAAGATATAACATAAAAAATTTACTACGGTTTTATAACTCAAGTTACTTATCGACCGTCGTTAAGTTTGGCCGGAAGTTGGGTAAGTAGAGCATGCGACACCGAGCTTAATTTAACATATTCACGCATGTTTCGTATGTTCGCGATTGTGAATAGATTTCTAACGAAATGAGAATGTTGAACAATTTATTTTGTTAAATTTTAGTTATTAGAGTTTTCGGAGTATACTAAGGTAAATGATATTTAAATACACGTAGGTACTTTAGTTTATTTTATTACTAGATTTTGCCGTCAACTGTTATAACAAAATCTCTAAGCAATCAAACATTGATATATTTAATGATTCGAATTCCTTAATTAAAACTAAAATTAAAAATTATTATTTCAGTAAAGATCACACACCTTAGGAGTATACATTAAGTTATTTTTCTTTTTTGTAATGAGTTTAGTTTTAGTTTTTAATTCTTTGTCATGTAAAACTTTTGTTTTTTTATCATAATGTTATGTTAGCCTGTAAGTGTATCCATGATATTGTGTTTTAGTTATAATTATTTTTCTTCATCAAACAGAACCTATTTCATGTGATACGTTGGCTTCCTATTGTAAAAAATAAATAAATAAACTTCGTCTATATGTTAAAAAAGCTTACTAAGTATCCTATGTTCTCACATATAACCGTTTTTGAGATGTAGCAACAAACATCATGCCATCCAATATAGCTTTCACATTAATTATATTAAACAAGTTAATAATTTTTAATTTATTAAGATTTTATTCGATTTATAGAAATCTGCAAACTGAAGTAGAAAATAATAAGTAAAGCAATCTCATCAATATTCCTCACAGACACGGACTTTAAATATTCCTTCAGCTATTTTCCGCGTCACTAACGTTTCTCCTGCAATCTTAATTAACTTTCGAATCGATTTCCTTTGTATTTATTTTTATTAAAAAAATGTATTCTCTTGGAATTTAATAGCTTTCTCTTTAATTAAACAACACACTTCCATTTTCCATCCATTCCTTTTATCTTAGTAAAAGTAATATTACAAAAAAAAAAATAAACAAAGCCACAAGAGATAGGGTAAAATTTGAAAAACTGACTGCCAACCTTCCCTAGTCAGAGAGGCACCTTAAAAAGAAGAGCCACAAAAATATTGTTCAAAATGAGTTCGTAAAGAAATTTTGTAACTTCTTAAAGGAAAGCATAAACAGGAAAATATTATAATGGAAAGTCAAACGCGTTATAAAGATATGTCGCCTATACAAAAAAACGTGTAAATATTCATAACTTAAATTTATCCTGAGACGATAAACTATTATGGAAAAATTACTATTTCTAGCTGACTAAAGACTGAATATTCTTAATGAAATTAATAACGGACTTGCAGTTTGAAGTGTAGAAGAGAATTTTACGCTGCGGAACATAAAATTACCCATCAAAAACTTTCCACAATTTGCTTTGTTGCGCGCACTGAAAACGCCAGTTTTTCAGCTACGATATTGCATAATGATGAGTTTTTAATATTGAACTATTTAAAAAGTAGATACGTTTAAGTACTTAAAAATATATGAACTTCTCTAGTTTCCTTATGTATAAAATTGTTTGATTTTTATTGACTATTATTTCTATTACCAGCTAGTTAGTTGGAATAATTTCAATATGGAACTATGATATAATGTTTTTCTGTCTTAATAACCATGTAATCCAATCATAAGCATTATAGACTAGTTTTGCCCGCGACTCCGTCCGCGTGAAATTACAAAAAAAACAAAAGTAAGTAGCTTAGGTGTTTTCCAGACTGTCCTCGTCTAAGCTGTCGTTTAAGCTACAAACTCTAACAAACATTTATCCATCTAAACTTCTAAACTTTTGCATTTATAATATTAGTATGACGAAGTATGATAGAATAACAGTGATATTGCACTGTAATTCATGTATCAGACAAGTGTAAATTATTGTCATTAACATGAATGAAAATTCTGTACTGTCCATCGAGGAAGCCATGTAGGGGGGCTAAAATTACCATAGAAATAGCTGTACAAGGCAACGCAGTTCTCGCGTAAATGCTATCATCAGTAGTAATTAAACCGCCGGCCATGTCCATGGTTGAGTTGGAAATTTTACACTCAAATGAGATTCAAAGCGAGTGAAAAATATTCATAAGCAAATTTCGTATATCTCTACGTAACAATGTACTGTTAAAAATTTCTCATATTTTGTACCTTCATCCTTATATCTAAATGATGCTATTTCCTTACTTTTTCCATAAAAACACATTGTCAAAACATATAAGTAAGTAATGTAAGTTAGTAATCATGGAAATATCTCGCAGATTATCTTTGTTCTTTCATTTATTAAGGAAATGTCTGTTATTACAATTTTATAACATTACTGTTTATTAATTTGTCGTTAATAAAGTAAGCATTAGCTGCTATGGGGACATTGCGGAGTCGCAGCCAGACTTAATGAACGGTACAACATCGCGCCACTGAGATAATATTCCCTGCTAATAAAGGGGATGGAGAAAATGAACAAACTTCGAACATATTAACGCTAGTCTGGATCTTATATTATACAATTTAGTGTTTAATTACTCTATCTAAACGGTGCGGGTAATTTCACAGACCTCACGCGAGCAGATGATATCAAATATTTATTAGTTTAACAACTGAAGTGTTTATAATGGAAAATTGTAGTACGCTTTTATGGTTCGTTAGTTTCAAAGCCTTTTGGGATGAACCTTTTGTGTTAAGGATTGAAAAATAAAGGAATAACTTAGTAGAAAAGTCAATAAAATATAATTAAAATACGGAATACTTATAGAAATTTAAGGTACCAAAAACTGCTAACATTGTTTTAAACGGTAACACGTACAACCGTCAAGATAAGCTCGAAGTAAATACACATACGCTGAACTCTATGGGATAGTGAGAGCTGTAACGTGGTCTATTATTGTTGACCTGTGTATTGTAATTAATGCAAAATATAAATGTAAACATTGACTTTAGTAACAGTGAATAGAGATAACGTTGGTTTAGTCACACATTGCGAAGAATCTGCCGGAAGCTAATGGGCGACCCACAATATCTTCCAACTGAGATAATCTGCCGCGCTAATAAAGGGCCTAATAAAGTGCCGTGTATAAATAAGCTTTGTTCATATTATCGTCGGCTCGGGAACCTTTTGGAGCTAATATTACGTCTAAATAGTGCGAAGGTCGTATTGTATTAGCTATTTTCATCACGAAATTAAGGCCTTTATAATTTTAAAGTATATTTTGAAACAGAAAATAGTCGTGTAAATATTTATACCATATTTTACCGACCCTTTTGTTTATTTACAAAACTTTGCCTAATTTAAATTATTGTTCAAAAGCTGAACGACAATTCCATAAGGAAATTATTTTATCACTGATAATTAAAAGCAAATAAACAGAAGTAATGTTTTAATATTGCGAAGGGTAACTGGTCAAATACAATACAGTTACAATAACATTAAGCTATTAAAGAATACCTTACGATCTACAAAATGTAGTAAAAAAAATTTATAATTTATCGAATTTTAAAATGCACGTGAACGAAAGCATATTTTACTACTTAGTTAATTAACGTATTATTTTATGAATTCCATATCACTAAATTTACATAATAAAATGCGAATTACAATATCGTACTATATATTTAAATAATTTTTTAATATTATCCTATTCTTGTTATAATTTGAACCACACAATAGCTCGTCCTCCCTATGTAGATAAATGCAACAATTTTCCACTTCTTGAACTCGCTGAATTAAAATTCATTTACAAATCTGCATATAAATAGCACCTGCAGTATTTAAATCCAGTTTTGTGTACACGATGCGTCGTATTTTACTATTATTTGCCTTTTTTGCTGCAGTTCTGGTATGTTAAAGTACTACTAAGCATTATTTTTGTTCAAACAATTGTTTTTTTGAGAATTTCATTTTAAAATAGTAAGAAGTTAACTTAAATTTTGAAGTTACAAGAACATTTTTACCTGTAACAAATATGTTAATAAAATATGTTTGAATTTAATTTCAGACTGAGAATGATGAAAAATTTACAAAATGTTCACACGTCCTAAACCCGGTATGTATTAAGAAATTACTCAAATTCATACATCAGACCAAAGCGTTATCATATCGAAAACGAACAAAATTATGCAAATATACAAAACGTATTTTGATGCTACTCATTCTTTTTGTGAAAAATGTGATAGCAATATGTTTCTCCACACTTGCTTCAGTAATGAAAACTCAGGTTCAGCTTAATGAAATATTTCTTTTATAGGCAACATTCTCCTGCTGTTTGTCAATGAACTTTGACAAATACAAACACACCGACGCTGTTAAAGAATGCTTGAAAATACCCAGATCACCAAACTCGGTAAGAGAGTTTATTTTATTATGCCAAAATGTTCATAATTTCAATCATTTTAAAATGATTTAATCACAACAAAATTATACTACAAAATTGTGTCATCATCATTAACCTGCCCACTTCCCTAAGGAGAGTCAACACAGTATTTTCTAAAACTTCCATACGCATCTGAAGTTGTCATGTATAGTTGTGGAAATAACCAAAATTAGACTATGTTTTGCTTATTATTCTATTAAAACAACTCAAAAACTACAGAACACTTTGAAAACATGCGTGAAGTGGAAGCAATTCCGCGTTTCGTCTGCTGAGTGTGGTGCCGGAGGCTTAATTTTAGTCCCTTTCCCTTTCCACCTTTTCTTACGAGGAAAGGATGGGAAGGAAAAGTAGATTTGACGGTGGAGGAGACGCATAGGAAGGGGATATGTCCCCTTAATGTGCGTCTCCTACTCCGTCGATGAAGGGTGGGCAACGCATCTGCAATTGCGGACGTTTATGGGCAGCGGTCGCTTTCCATTTCGGTGGATTTAGGTTGCCGCTTGCTCTTTTGCTACCTTATATTATAAAAAAAACTACGGATCCTAATTAAAAAAATCTATCACCATTAAAAAGCTACGTTAAGAGTTAGTTACATATTATATTTTTTATTTTTTTTATTTACGCGCGGGAGTAGTCGCAAGAAACATTGTTTTCATATAATTAAATTTACATATTTCCAGTGTGACCGTGATATTTGCTTTGCTAATAAAATGGGATTCGCATCGTCCGATGGAAAAGTCGACAAAAATGAATTCAAAAATCACTTAGAGAACAACAACCAAATTGACACGGAGTTAAAAAATCAAATCTTAGATTCATGTGCAGAGGGAGACTTAGATAAATTTGGTACAGAAGACATCTGTGATGTGAAGAAATTAAAACTATGTGTAGATTTACAAGTATTTTCGGTAAGTACGCTTATTAACCGATTTAAATTACATATTTAAAACTTTTTATTTAAAGGTAAAATGATACATTTCATAATATCGCTATGTTTTGTTTGAAGAATATTCATTTGTTTGTTTACTACTTTGTGAAAATTAACACAAACATCATTCACAGTTATGCAAAAATTGGGATACAGACGGACCTTGTGCTGGAGTCCAAGAACTAGCCGAAGAATGTGCGGAACTCTACTCTTAAAGTATATTTGAAACACAGATTATTGTCAATACTGCACCACTTCACTTATTATTATAAAACCCATTGTAACCATATTAAAAAATTAATTAAACAACACTGCGATTAAATACTTTTTTATCTATTCCTTCACAACATTACGTTTATTACTCCTAATAAAAAACAATTGGCAACTAACTTTTTTATAAATCACGCTAACAAGAACAGATAATTATGATTGGCCAGTAACAAAAAACTTTTTATTTTTCAACATAACCTATTTATTCAACCTCTTTTGTCAAATTGCTTATAATTCATGTAACACAATTAGTTATATGCAATGCTAGCTTTATTCGGTCACTTCGTCCGCGTGGTTTAAAAAAAAAGTAGTATGTAGCATATGTGTTCTTCCAGACTATCCTCTACATCTACACAGAATTTCAGCCAGATCAGTTCAGCGGCAGCAGCAGACTATCCATCTAAACCTCCGCATTTATAAATGTTAGTAATTTATATAATGTTAGTAAGAATATCTATAAAATATGAAAATGAAATGTAATAAACTACATTCCGGTGACGCAATTTTTTACATAAATATTTTTAATATCGATAGGGCAATAAATGGAACTGTAAAAGGTATAAGTTATCTCATTAAAATTAACAGAATAAAGACAATAATCGAACACTGTGACGGGTAAAACCAGGAAGCACAGCACATATGAAAAAACATGCTATAATTTGTTAATTAAAAAAGGCAAGTGGAACTTACCAGTTCATTATAGAATTAATTATAATACGAAAAATTTTCCAGATCAACTTTTTGCAACTTTAAGCCAATTTGAGACTTGAGATTGTATCGAACAAAAATAAATAACAAGTTTGATGTTTTTCGAGAGAAAGAATATTTGTATGAGTATTTTTTGTTACCTTCTGGACCCTTCTTTGTCGACTGTTTAAAGTCAAATTTGGCGTAAGATAAAAAAGGAGAAATTAAATCATCATCTCCCCTGCTTTATCCTACTCCCGTAGGGTCGGCGCACCGGGTTTTCGTCCTCTAAAGCATTCTATCATCCGTCATCCCAGTCATTACTCCCTTCTTGATCATGTCACCTTTCACGCAATTCATCCATCTCTTTCTAGGTCTACCTCTACCGATGTACCCCTCCACATTCATAACTAACATCCTTCTTATTACATGCGATTCATCCTTTCTCATAACATGCCCATACCACTCTAACCTTTTACTCCTTATTTAAAGACTTTAAAAAAGGAGAAATTAAATACTTATTATTAATAATTAAAATAGTTTTAGCTTATGTTTAATCAAAGCTCGTCACAACAGAAAACTTAGTGCCCAAAACATAGCAAAGTTTGACAGGCTCGGTTCGGTTTAATTTAGAGAGTTTAATTAACTGCCACTTGCGGAGGGCTTACTGAATCTTACCCTTCGCAAATTTTAAGTTTCCATCACCAATACTTGTTAATTTTATTTATAAATACCGTTACTACTTCTACGTTTATTCATCTCAAACCCCTACAAAATATACCTTTCTGGGTATTCTTTACATTATTTTTATTAAGAGAGGTTCCCTTACGTAAATTTCCCTTTCGCTCTTGTCTTCGCAAAGTCCAACTCCCATTTAATCTTACCACTTATTACTTCTTACTAATATTATAAATACGAAAGTTTAGATGGATGGATGGATGTTTGTTAGAGTTTGTAGCTTTAACGGCTGAATAGATTTTGATGAAATTTGGTACAAATGTAAATAATAGTCTGAAGAAAAACATAGGCTCACTTTTGTTTTTTTTTTATTTCACGCGGACGCAGTCGCGCGCGAAAGCTAGTTATTAAATAAATAAAAAACATCAAATTAAAGTTTTATTTTTTACAAAATTCACAAGAAACAATTAAGTGTTAAATAATACTGTTCGAATATTCATTTGCAAGACGATGACGTAACGTGAAATATGCTATTACCCTAAACAGTACAATAAATATAGACAATCCAATAATTTGAACGATAAACACATCGCCCTCCATTCCTAATTCTTGAAGTACATATATCGGATCTCCGTAAACACAAATATCTTCAGAGCAATGCATTCTGGTACGATTCTGGTACAATGGTAAAGTCAATCCAGTAAGACCATATCGCAGGAACGATAGAGACATAAGGAATTTCATTCCTGGCTCTATATGTCTCCCAAAACCCATTCCATAGCAACATAATACTAAAAGTGGTGAAATTATAGACGGTCCCAATATGGCTCCGTTCTGAAAATAAAGTCAATAAAGAAGTGTCACATTTTTCTATGGCTGAGGCAATAATCTTACTAATTTTACAATTGCGAAAGTTCCGATGGATGGATTTGTAGAGTTTGTAGCCTTAACTGCTGAACAGATCTCGATGAAATTCGGTATAGATGTTAGTATGGAATAACACATAGGCTATGTGCTTTTTTAATTCACGCAAACGGAGTCGTTGAGAGCTAGTAATAAATATTCAATACTAAAACAAATTATTTTTTCTATAAGACAGATTTTGATTAAATCTTCTACTATAAAATTTCAAGTATAAAACATCGTTCCGTGTTTTTTCTTATGTCATATAATATTATTTATTATTTTACCAAAATTTGTAATACTTTTCAACTTACTGTGCCATTCAATATTGTTCCGATAACTATACCGAGGCCTTCGGAGCAGAAGCCAGTTAAAAGTCCTATTATTGAAAACGAAATAAATCTATACCATTCGAAAAGTTGGCCAGTCATCAAATATGTCATAGTTATGAAAATCATTCCAAAAAATATCTGAAAGAAAAATTTTAACTGTAATACGAAAAAATGTACAGTCTTCAAACAATTGTTTTTTTTTTTCAATCACAGATTTTGACAAGAATACGCTATTTGTTTGTTTGTAGAAAATTCACTGAATTCAGTAATTAGTGAATAATCCAATTGGATTATCTTACTTTATACTTTATTATAATACCAAACTGAATGTTCAATTTTATGAATAAATATTAGTGATTTTATACTAAGTTTCAAATATAAAGGCATCTACACACCGCCGGTGGAATCGTAGAGCAGGTAAGAGCAGCATAATAAGCCTTGAGTCCATACCATCTATTGAAGTACTCACGTCGAATTATTCTTATTTCCATTGGCACTGAAAACACAAAAAAAAACAACATGAAAGCTTATACTCCTTTAACCTAGATTTAATAATATAAAATTTAGACTATTAATAAACTACAAAATACGCACAGAGTAAAATAGGTACCATGGTATAAGTGTAAATTAAAAACACAGTAATGCAGAGGTAACATTTGAAGTTGGCCATGGGTGTACTGCCTTCATTGCCAACCATATAAAATATACCACCAATAAAAAGACCGCATATTATATATTGCATTAATTGTATAAACCAATTTAACTGAAAAGAAAGGAATTAAATATTACATTTCGTGGTGTTAAAAACAATAAAACTTAATAGCGTCTTATAAATCGACGAAACCAGTCAGCACGAAAAAGCTTTGAGAAAACTTGTAAGGCATCTATCTCGTAAAATTATCTAATTAACAGCAAGCATTTTTTTATTGAAATACTTAAGCTAAATAAATCACCTGTTTACGTTTACTCTGTAAATAAATCCTTTGAATCAAAATTGTAAATTGTGTACAAAACGATGTAGGAAATTCCAGTTTCAAGGATTTATCTTTATATACTTGTTCCATACATATATTGTTTCCAGTATCTTCTAAATTACTTAATTGTAACCTGCAAAGCAATACTTTTATTTATAAAACTACTAGCTTTCGCCCGCGACTCCGTCGGCGTGGAATTAAAAAAAAAGTGTGTAGCCTATGAGTTCTTTTAGACTATACTCTACATCTATACCAAATTTTATCGAAATCCATTCAGACGTTTAGGCTACTAACTAACAAACATTCATCAATCCATCTAAACTTTCGCATTTATAATATTAGCATGATTTTAATGTAAATAATAACAAAATAAAAAATATCCTCACGACATGTCCGTGGACCATCTGCATACTTTTCCATTTTGGCATAAGTCTGACAATTGGCTTTTTGCTGTCATTTCTCCAGCAAGAGTTTCAATCACAAAATCAGCAGGATTGTGTGACGGTGGGCAGACATATTGAGCTTCTGCTAAAAACGGCACTAATTGAGAAGGTGCACCCTGTAAAATAATGTAAACGTGTGTTTAAGGCATTAACACTGATCAGGAAAGACAATTGGGCCTGGTGATCCAGTCCCCTTCCCAAGGGGAAAATTGATAAAGTTATATTATTAAAAAAAAAATTGTTGTTCAACAAAAAATACCCTTATGCAAATATTGAGTAATTTGTGAATTACCCAAGTATGTTACTTCTACGTCTTAATTTTAATTAAAAAGTTTGCTATAAATATCAAAGTTTTATAAAACAAACACTTAAAGTGTGTCATTTAAACCAGTTTACTTAAAGTTTACTGCGTTTGAGCCCATCGAAGGTATATTGTGATGAAAAGTTTTTCCATTACCACTACAATAATAATTAATTTAAGTAAATAGATCAAATCTAGAAAGGTTTTACCTGATAACAACATTGTCCATCACAAACCACGTAAGCATTGTCGAAAAGATTAAATAATGATGCTGAGGGTTGATGAATTGTACAGATAATAGTTCGGCCTTGACGAGAGAGCAGACGCAGCAAAAGTAATAGCTGCCTCACTGAGACTACGTCCAATCCTCTGTAAATAGAATATGAATAAACACAAGCAAATTGTAATCGACGTAGCAAATAAATAGAATATTGGAACCGACTGAGCGTTCTGTGTAAGATGTTCATTTAGAAATGTAAAAGATGATAAGTGCTTTAAGACCGTCATCAAGTTCCAACTAAGTAAATTTTGAGGCTTTTATTACGTATATTAGAGAAGTACAAGAAATGTTAGTGGTTTTGTTAAAATTATTAATTTAACTTACGATGTTGGTTCGTCTAGAAATATGACTGGAGGATTGTTAACTAACTCTAAAGCTATAGCAAGACGTTTCGATTGTCCGCCGGAGAGTCGCTCACACATCGTGTGCCTTTGTCTCCATAGTCCCAATGTTTGTAATACCTCCGCTACCTAAGATTATAGGAATTAGTTCAAATCGCTTTCAAACGTAATATTCAAATAACATTTATAAGACTTGATAAAGTTTCTAACTCGATTTTTTAACATTTCTGATTTTGCAGACACTATTTTCAACAAAAAAGATCTGCTAAGATATTTAAATTATTATTTACATTAATATGCATACCTTAAAAAGAAATAAATGAAAACAACTTTTTAAACATATCGTAATACTTACAATAACTTCCTTGTTTGCTTTTTTTATTTCTGCTCCTAGCTTCAGTTCCGCGGCAATTCGCATTGACTCTAAAGTAGTAAGCCTTGGTTGTAGAATATCATCATGCATGATGTAACAATTTAACTTCTTAAATATTCGCATATCACGATCGTCTCCATTAATTTTGATTACACCTTTGACGCCATTTTGGCTACAAAAATATAACATGTGTTAAAAAACTTATATTTTATTTTTCATTTCATATTTAACCTTCGGTATTTTTAATGAAAATCCTTTATTTAATTATTTATTTATGAAGATAACGAAGTAAGACATGGTAATGAGTTTTAGAGGATTGCTAACGCTCATGACTCATGTGTGACTTTGAAAAAATTGACCAATGTCACATGCAAGACCCGAAAACTTGTTTAAAATTTTCCATCCAACTCGTACAAAAAACATTTACAAGGACATGTTATGACAAGCAGAGTGTTAAAATAAACTATATTCTAAGATAGGGTAGACAATGTGAAAGACGATTAGATAGCTTTTTTCATTGTTGAAGTGCTAAATATAGGAGGCATAGAACAGGGAGGTATTGACGATTGAGAAACTTACTTATATCCTGTTAGAATATGAAGCAGTGATGATTTGCCAGCGCCAGAAGGTCCAAGGATACAAGTTAAATGTCCGGAACGAAACTCTCCCGATATACTGCGCAATATTTGACGTTTTTCTAAGAAAAATAAATAGACATATAGACATTTGAAAATTTATAATGCACCGTTACTACCTGAGACTTAAAACCCGTTATATGAAACAGCTGCCTCTTGTTTAAATGCTGTTAAAGTTAAGTAAAAAATAAACTTAATTGATAGGAACATACCCCATTAAATGCTTAGTTTACTTTTGGTACACATTAAGCGATAAATGTAAAATGCAGGAATTTCAACTTTCTCTATACAGATGTGCTTTGCTAATAATCGTAACTTATTTGCACCAATGATGACCATTTACATATTTTGTTTTTGACATTAACTAATATAAAAAATCTCGTTTGTAAAATGTTAAATCTCGTTTGAATTACAAAATAGCTAGTAACGTAATGCAAATTTTATTTACAACATTAAAATAACATCAATAAACTTATTATTAGTTGTTCCAAACATGATTGCGTATGTTTTTATACATGTTATTCAGCAGTGAAAACAGCAGCCCTTGATAATAAAAGAAAACAATGCAAGTTTGTTACATCTTAACCCGAAACCAATTCGTAATTTTGTAATATCAGTTGTTTCAATTAAACCAGTTTTTTAAACAATATCCTCTAAAAGGAATTTAAAGATAAACAAGTTTTTATTATTTCACGTAATTTCGCAAGCAAAATGCACGGTACCTAACTTGTTCTACCACTTAAAATAACTTCCGCATCTATATTAAGGTTACTTTTAATAATTTTAATGGCTAAGCACTGATATATTGGTCAAAACTGCGATAACTGTAGGAGTATGTTTGAATCTTCCATTCTAACATTCATCATCAACAACCCTGCGGAGCATCGGCACGGTATGTGCTGCTCTTCCATACATCTCTATCAGCCGTCAAATCTGAATCCACTCCCTTCTTAGGCATATCCTCTTTCACACAATCCATCCTTACTTTCTTCGGTCTTCCTCCACCTTAACACTTTCTGGTTTACCCATCGTCTCGTGGCTTAACATGTCCATAATACGCTAACCTTTTACTTCTTAATTTCTCCACCACTGGCGATACTTTCAAGCTTCGTCTAATGTACACATCCAACAACTAACCTCCATTCTAACATTCATCGAGCTAAATAATTCTTATTTGAGACCTCGGCCACTTTTGTAACAGCTAATAATTACTATTTCACGATCTGTGAAACACAAGGTCGTAAATTAGACTGAGACTAGTCTACCATCTTATCCAAATAAGTAAAAGTCATTTGTATGTTGAGCGTTTGTAAACCATTGTATCATATTAATGCCTGTTAATTTATTTTAACGTCACAAGAGTGTTGTCGGCAAATTTTTAAACTACGCTATTATTTCAGAAGCCGTTAATTGATAAATTGTAAATGTCACTCCATTTATGGCCATTTAAATTAAAGGTTAATATATTCTTTAAGATTCAATGTGAGATATGTGGCCATGAATGACGTCACAAGTGATAGTTTAATTGAATAACTTTTGCATTTCTAAAAGATGCCAAATGACTCGTGAAAATCTGAAAGCAAACTCGAAGGCCAAGGGACTTAGTATTGAAAATTTTTAAACCTTAGTATATTTTCTATCATTAACAAGCATACTTTTGAGAATCAAGAGTATAATGTCCCAATTTGTAATGATAATAATGAACTATTGACTTATTAATCTAATAATTATTCACATTTTAATAATAAATAAATTCGTTATTACTTGTTTGTCTTTTCAGTTTAATGCTCTTTTATCTTAATAATGTCTGGAACTTATGCTTTTATCCGTATCCGTGTTATTTTTTATGCTTTTGTAGAAATAACGAATTCACATACACAATATTACGTATTTTAATCAAAATTATTACTTTACTAGCTATTCCCGTGCGGCTTCATCCGCATGAAATTATGAAAATTTTATTTTATTGTTTACATTTGTCAAATTATCAATTACAAATGTCAAAATAACATGACATGATGACAACCTTGCTTCCTTGATGTTGACAGCAACTTATGGTCTCTTTCCCACATTAGGGTTTATCCAAAATTTACCCCTAAGTTTGATGTCGCGAAAATATATAGCCTAAAGCGTGACGTAAGTGTAGGGATTTTTATTAAAAAAAGAATTATTCAAAAATATAGTGTAATTGCTGACATCTTAAGCAACAAAGAAGTGTGTGTTTACGATTTATTATAATAGTATAGAAGTATAGACAGATTAGAATTATAAATTTCTATTTGTTAATTTCTTGCAACTGAAACGTGTAAGTTAGATTCACTTAATCGAAACCGAGGACTAAACATCCTTGTCCTACAAAACTTTTAAATGTCACTATTAATTTTGCATAAATCTTTTATTAAAATAATCACATTTGTAATTCTAATTACCTCGAAATGAACTGACGGTGTATTCAATATCTTTGAACACAATATTAACTGGTGGTCGTTTAGCGATACTATTCAAAGCCTTTAGCGTCCCAGCTTCAAACAAAATCTCATCAACACCTTTTTCATTTGTATATGAACTAGGATCTTTAGACGTTGACATTATAAACGAAGTACAACACTACGATATTGTTCACACTTCGAATTTAAATTAAATCAAATATAATGTAACACTTATATATAACAAACAGACATTATGTTCGTTCAAATGTCGCGGACATACTGAACATGATATGTTTACGAACGCTAAATATTCCAAAGCAACCATATATGGTCTAAGAGCAAAATAAATTGCAATACCCAAGCATTCATTTACTGACGATGCCGTGAATAATATACATTTATAAAAGAAGTCAAACCGCGTATTACTTTTGAAACATCCTATATAAACATGATATATCTGTTTCTTTAATAGTTAATAACGAGGATGGCAACATTATTTTGTTCATTACATTCGTACATCTTTAAAGGTTTCCTAAAACAATTATATTGTTTGATAATGCGACTTTGATGAAAAAAAAATCTTTTATTTTCTCTCTATTTGCAATTAATTCTTACAATAATTCGCCACCATACTGTAATGACCCAAAAATATGATCGTCCTTTATTTTACTTTATTAAAAAAAATAAAACATTTTGAAATTAGTAGTGTATAGCGTTCCATTTTTAGACGATAATGACATTGTTATTGACCTATTTGTTACGAAATTGTTATCAGTAATAACATTGAATACAAATAATTATCTAAACATACTTATAAAAAAATAGGAAAAAACTGATGAAACAAGTTGGAGTATACGTAAAACTAAAATTTTATTATTTTAATGTCATATATCTCTCTTGTTTCAAGTGAGAATGACCGCAAC